AGCAAGTACGATATAGAATTCAAAAGCCGAATCAGTATGAAGGCTCAGGTTTTAGCAAACTTCTTGACCGAGCTACCAATACCTGGAACGATAGAGCAACCGGAGAACCAAACTTGGAAATTACATGTAGACGGGTCTTCAACAAAACAAGGATCCGGAGTGGGAATCAAGTTGGAGTCTCCAACATCAGAAATTCTAGAACAGTCATTCCGATTGTTATTCAATGCCTCTAACAATGAGGCAGAATACGAAGCCCTGATTGCCGGACTTTGATTGGCACAAGGAGTTGGAGCTAAGCAAATAGTGGCTTATTGTGATTCGCAATTAGTAGTTAACCTGTTTAATGGAGACTATGAAGCCAAGGACTCAAGAATGGAAGCATACCTCGAAGTGGTGAAGGATCTATCTAAAATTTCTCGAAATTCGAATTAGTCCGCATACCTCGGGGGGAGAATATAACTGCGGACAATCAAAGGTATGCTTCCTATGGGATGAGAAGTGTGAAGAAGCTTTTGGGCAGCTTAAGGCATACTTAACCACTCCACCTATACTGTCCAAGCCAGAAGTGGATGAAAAACTTTATTTGTACGTGTCGGTTGCAAACCATGCGGTTAGTGGAGTCTTGGTTCGGAAAGACCGCGGGGAACAGAAGCCAATTTACTACGTAAGTAAGTCAATGACGGATCCGGAAACCAGATACACAATGATGGAAAAACTCGCACTCGCGGTGGTGACTTTGGCTCGGAAGCTGCGCCCATATTTTCAGTCCCATCCGGTTGAAGTATTAACCAACCAACCACTCCGAACAATACTTCATAGTCCAAGTCAGTCCGGACGTTTGGCGAAATGGGCGGTGGAATTAAGCAAGTACGATATAGAATTCAAAAGCCGAATCAGTATGAAGGCTCAGGTTTTAGCAAACTTCTTGACCGAGCTACCAATACCTGGAACGATAGAGCAACCGGAGAACCAAACTTGGAAATTACATGTAGACGGGTCTTCAACAAAACAAGGATCCGGAGTGGGAATCAAGTTGGAGTCTCCAACATCAGAAATTCTAGAACAGTCATTCCGATTGTTATTCAATGCCTCTAACAATGAGGCAGAATACGAAGCCCTGATTGCCGGACTTTGATTGGCACAAGGAGTTGGAGCTAAGCAAATAGTGGCTTATTGTGATTCGCAAGTAGTAGTTAACCTGTTTAATGGAGACTATGAAGCCAAGGACTCAAGAATGGAAGCATACCTCGAAGTGGTGAAGGATCTATCTAAAAATTTCTTGAAATTCGAATTAGTCCGCATACCTCGGGGGGAGAATATAACTGCGGACGCACTTGCCGCATTGGCGTCAACATCAGATCCTGAGTTGAAAAAAGTTATTCCAGTGGAATGCATTTCGGAGCGAAGCATTCAAGACAACAAAGAAACCCTCGTCGTTACAAGGTCTCGAGCAGCGGCACGTGACCATGGCGAACCAGAGATCGAACCGCCACCCAACAAACGGAGGAAGTCAAAGGGATCAAACACATCTAAAAAGGTACCCGTTGTCTTAGCAGAAGATGTGATTCCAGAAACAATATTAGAAACCGAGCCGTTAATCGATGAGGATGTTCTTGAACCAAACGAATATCCCGAGCCAGAGCCACGAGTATTTTACAAGGTTGACCAAATTCCGGCTAAAGACTGAGGGGCTGACTGGAGGGAGCCAATAAAGCACAACATCATGACAGGCGAGCTCCCAAAGAATAAGTGGTAGGCCAGGAAAATGAAAATCGTTAGCGCGAAATTTTGTCTATAAAAGGATGCATTATATAGACGAGGTGTCAGTGACCCTTACCTATTATGCATTTTTGGGCCCGAAACCGAAATCGTCATGAGCGAAGTGCATGAAGGATTATGTGGGAGTCATTCATCAGGAAGAGCTATGGCTTTTAAAGTTAAAAGAATGGGATACTATTGGCCCACTATGATCACGGATTGTGTTAAATTTTCCCAAAGATGTAAGCGCTGCCAACTCCATGCACCATTGATCCATCAACCTTCGGAGTTATTCTCTTCCATCTTCGCCCCGTACCCGTTTATGAGATGGTCAATGGACATCATTGGACCATTGCACAGATCAACTCGAGGAGTACAATACCTTTTGGTCTTGACGGACTACTTTTCGAAATGGATTGAAGCTGAGGCATATGTTGGCATCAAGGATTCAGCGGTGAAGACTTTCATTTGGAAGAATATTATATGTCGACATGGAGTTCCGTATGAAATAGTCACCGATAACGGGCCACAATTCATTTCACAAGAGTTTGATGCCTTTTGTGCGGAATGGGGAATCGAAGTCAGTTACTCTACTCCACGATATCCGCAAGGAAACGGTCAAGCTGAAGCCGCAAACAAGACGATATTGAGCAATCTCAAGAAACGTATGAATCATCTAAATGGAGGATGGTATGAAGAACTCTAACCCGTCCTATGGGCCTATCGTACAACCCCTAGGCGACCTACCGGAGAAACTCCATTCTCTTTGGTTTATGGCATGGAGGCAGTAGTACCAGCTGAACTCAACGTGCCCGGACTTCGCCGAACAAAAGCACCATTAAATGAGGAAGAAAATTCAGCAATGCTTAATGATTCACTGGATACCATAAATGAAAGGCGTGATCAAGCTTTGATTCGGATTCAGAACTACCAGCAGGCAGCAGCCCGATATTACAACTCTAAAGTCAAAAGTAGGCCGTTCTTCGTGGGAGATTATGTGTTAAGGCGCGTCTTTGACAATAAAAAAGAAGAAGGTGCCGGTAAACTTGGTATTAATTGGGAAGGACCTTACAATGTTACCGAAGTGGTTCGGAACGGTATTTACAGATTGAAAGACTTAGAAGACAGGCCAGTCAAGCGACCTTGGAATGTGATCAACCTAAAGAAGTTTTATGTTTAAAGCTACATGCATTTTATATGTACATGAACTACGGTGTGGTTTGATCCCGAAATAGGTACGTAGGCAGCTCGGAAACGAGTTCAGCTATTAATAAAAATTTGTTTCATTTCTGTATTAAAAGGAAAGGTTCGACTGTGCGAACAAATAAAGCAAATAAAGGTTCGGCTATGCGAACATACAAGGAATTGGAAATAGAGCGTTTATTCAAACGAAAAAAAAAGATGGAATGTCCCTCATCGAACACTTTGGGTTATGGAGATCTTGTTGACGAGCAGAACACTTCAACTCCTTGACCAGCAAGGTCGAGGATTGGCATCATGCAGTCCAGAATTCGAGTGAAGTCAGAGATTCCAAGCTCGACCCATTCTCCAGGGTGAGATTCAAGGACGTGAAGATCTCTTGAAACCGTAGTAAGCCTGCGTTGCATCCGGTTAATCTTCTTCCGGAGTCTCCTCTTTTCCAACGTAAGCTTCCGATGCTAAAGCGCAAGTGCCTCTATGAACACCATCGCTGTTCCTTGGTCTCTGATTAGGAGATCCCTGTTCAAAGCACATGGAGCTCGGATCTTGGATCTTAAGAAACCGCGAGGTGGAAGAGGCCGCCTATTTGGCTCATTTCGGGCATCTTCGTTTATCATTCCGATCCTGGAGAAGTCGGGCATAGATTCTGAACATCGAAGGTTGAACTCCATACCTGCTAAAACGAAAAAGAGTGGTAAGGAGAAAAGAGAAGTTGAGACTATAATTTATAGGAATATCATATTCCTAGTAAGCTGCGGATTCTATCCTAGTAATGGAATGATTCGCGGAGAGATTTATGCCCTTAAACCGATCCTGCGTTGAAAGACGCATCTCCGAGAATATTTGAAGAATAAGGAAAATTGCAAATGTTTCCATAAATAAAAAAGGGGGCCGAAGCCCATTACGAGTTCAAAATAAGTAAAGAAGTTAGAGAACATTTATGGAAGAGGCTCAGGAACAGGCTCCTTCATCGCCGGTTTAGTTTTCGAAGTGGACGCCTTTTCTTGGCATATACTTCGGGACGATCCCGAACGCGTTTCCGACTGGTACTGGCCTCCTCCTCGTCTTCTTCCTCGCTATCAGATGGAACGGCAAAGACCGGGGCATTCACGGGACCCAGAACTCCTTTAGCACGGAGATACATCCGAAGCATTTTCGGGATCTCAGCAACAGAATCGAAGTTCCGCCATTCCCATTGAAAGGGATCACTTTCCAGAGCCCTTATCTTCCTCTCCACCTGAGTGATACGAGCCTCGAGTGTCTGCCTTTTGAGACCTAGCCGCTGCCTCTCCTCACACAAGCGACGGTGTTTGTCGGCGACCTAGCATAAAGTTGAGTAAATAAAATGAAACAGAAAGTTTTTAATCAAGGACGACGGATATTAACCTTGTCGATAAAGTCGCAAGAATGCCGGCTGGTTCAAAGCCATCGCCGGACAGAAAAAGCGGGCTGCCGGGATCAACGGGGACTACGTTTTCGTTCTCCATTGATGTGGTGCTTGTTGAATGAATTATGAAGTTTCTTGAGAAAAGATTAAAGGCAAACAATCTCCTATTTATAATAGGAATAGGGTTTGTCTTGGAATCGAAAAATCATTAATAATGGCGTGCCCAAGTAACTTAAACCATTTTTGGAAAATCGAGAAAAGGCAGTTATTGCATTAAAGACGAGCCGCTTTTCCTACTTTCAAGAAATAAGAAGGGAAAGAGCAACCGTCGTATTAACTACGAAGTGACTAAACCCAAAGTGGGGAACTCGCGTTAAGCCGAGCTCAGTTCTCGCATTCTAAAAAGAAAGGTCTGATCAGCCTAAAAATCTCGAAAGCATAACCACAAGGCCATAAAAGGTTAAAAGCAGACTTTGCAAACCCGCACATAATTTTAACCAAACCCCCTTGGGGTCATAACCTAGAAAGGTTTAAAAGCATCCTCAGGCAAATATCTTGTTCAAAAGAAATGATAAAGCCTCCTTAGGCAAAAACAAGTTCGAAATTAAGTTTTGAAATAAAAGGGACAATCCCCTATTTAAAGTGGACACAGCCACTACGGGTTAACGACCACCTCGGACTCCGTCTCAGCTGTCAAAGTTTCATCCACCTCCTTGGCTGGTGCCTGGTCAGGCGAAGCTCCTGGTCCGCTTTCCACGGTACAACCATCCGTCGGGGTGACCTCCGGTGTGGCTAGAACTTCGGGAGGGGTGGCATCTTCCGCCTCACTTGAGCTTAGGAAGGATAGTTCTAGTCAACAAAGAAATATATATATATGATAGGGCAAGAAAGAAATAGTAAGTATCAAGAGCTGGAGATTACCTGCCCATTCTAGACCCGATTCACTTGGGGGAGGTGATTCAGTAAAAAATTCCTCGAAGTGCTGTGGGTTGAAGGTTGAAGCGGGAAGAGCAGCCAAGCGACTCCGTTTTTTAGTTAAATTAGCGGTCAATTCGGATCTTTCTTGCGCTTCGGAGAAATCTTTGTCATGGATCTGATCCAACAGGATCAGGGTGCTCTCGTGCTCTTTGATGTCAGATTCTAGATCTGACCTAGATTTCTCAGTTTGGATGAAGCAGATAGCCCCTTGGATCAATTCTATCCCGCGTCCCTTGACCTCTTTTCTGGCCTTCGATGCTGACCTTGCTAACTCGGAATCACGCAACTTGGCGATCACCTGGTACTTCGCGTGAAGCTCGGTAAGTTGGTTGTTAAGGATATCGGCGGATGATTCAGACTCATGACGTCTACCCTGAACACAAGAAAGTTCATCCTGGAGCTTGTAATTCCGGTCGTACTGGTCCTGCAGCTCCCCCTTTATCTTCGCAAGCTCGGATGATAGACCATCAACCTTGTCCTCCAGATCATGCTTGGAGTCGGTAGAAGAACGGAGGTCAGCCTCGAGATTAGAAAACTTGCTCTTCCACGTGTCAATCTCCTTCTCCTGACCAATGACCAATCCTTCGTAATGTTTAATTATGTCATTGAGCTCGCTGTTAGCCTGATATTACACATAAACCCGAAATGACGGATCAGTTTGAAGAATGACAATGAAGTCACAAAAATGAAGCGGAACTAACCCGAGATGAATGGTGAGCATGGAGTAGGTATCGTTCACGAATTGCGGAGCGCCACTTGTTGAACTCCGGCAGGATCGCACTTGATCGGGTTTTGAAGCACCGAAAAACGTTACCCTCTTTCTCCATGGCTACGAAAGCAAAAGAGGAAAGGTCTTAGAAATTCAAAATAAGTACAAGACGAAAAGAAAAGAATGCATGTATATCGTCATACCTGAGAGCGATTTGATCTGAGGAACAAGAGCAGGCTTTGACTTCAGAGAGTCATCTCGAGACTCAGAACTTTCCTTCTGAGAAGCTGCACCCAGGTTCGTCTTCTTGCCACTACGTTGAGAAGAAGAGGACTTATCGACAGGACGAGGAGGACCCATTGGTTCAGTAGGAGGGGACGATCGAGGAGAACGGTCAGTCCGAGCCCTTGACTTCTCTCTTCGCGGAGAAGAACCACTGCGGGATGACCTGTCCCTCTTTTTGCGAATTAAATCCTTAAGCGGTTCGTTGCTAAAGTCATCTCGGGAAGAACGAGGAGAGTCACGGTTAGGAGATTGGAGCCTCCAGGAAGGACGATCATCACGACGTTCACGTCGAGGTATCAATCTGAAAACGGCGACGGATCTGGCTCCTTCGGTGCTACCGTCGTCAACCAATAAGGTTTTGCTATAATCTTTTTTGTCAATGGCGGTCGCAAGGAACGCCTTGTTCTCATCACAAGCCTCAGCCATCGGCTTGGAAATCATTTTTCGCTGGGCAGTGAGAGCCCGAGCTGACATTCCCTGGGTTGAGGGAGGAGGCGGAAGACGATGAAGTTGATTGGGAGGGCTCATCCTGAGTTTTCGATTGGCTTCTATGAACCGTTCGAGAGTGAAAGAATTCCAAAGGGTTTCCCCTTCGAGGATTATTTTGAAGAAGCCAATGAATTCTTCAGTTGGTAAAGTCGGAGCGACGAAGGCTGCGAAGTGAAAATAACAATTTTAATCAATAGGAATAATAAAATTGGAGGAATGTGTGCGACCTAATTTCTACCAGGTTTCGCGGACCACTTCGATGGGAGTAAATCTGATAGATTTCCAATCGAAGCAGGGGTTTTCTTAATCAGGAACCAAGGGTGATGCCAATTTTCATCCTTGTTTGGAAGATGTGAAATGACGTTCCTGTTAGCGTTAGGATATACCGAGAAATACCCTGTCTTCTTCGATGAACTTCTCACTCTTAGAAGCTCATTTAGTTCGGGGACCCCAATAATGTATCCGGCTTCCGCCGCTACTGTTATAATTCCGAGAATGGTTCGGAGAAGATTGGGAATTAATTGAGGAAGAGCGATCTCGAGAACCGCCAAGTACCGAACCAGGGTTTCGGGAAGTGGGAAGGTTAATCCGCAACCCTTGAAATAAATCTCGTACACACAGAAGTAACCATCGCGATGGTTCTCTGGGGATTCTGTGGGGTCCGCTATTTGTGCTTCCGCCATAATTTCTGGCGGAATCCGGCAAAGCTCTCTCAACGGTTCGAGGGATTGAAGAGTACAAGTGGATCTATAGTGCAGACCGCCAATATCATTAGGGCGAGTGCACTCGTCATTACTAGAGCGCCTATCGTCGAATGACGGAGATTCGGGTCTTTCAGAATGAGAAGTCATTGAGGAAAATGAAAGGTTCGAGATCCGACGAAGAGAAATTTGGCGAAGGAAAAGAAGAGAGAAGTTTCGAATAAAGTGCAAATGAAAAAGTAAAAGTAGAAAATGATGATGAAAAGAAGTTACCTTACACAAGCTAAATGATGGAACCGCCTCAGAAGTTGTGTGGAAAGTGGGGAGGTTTTTCCCGTTTTAATAGTAATTAATTAATATACGGTCATAATGATGACAGATGTCACACGGGTAAAAATGGCTAGTGCCGAAATTAAAGGAATGATGAGATTTTCGGCGGGAAATCAGAAAGATTCTCGAGCGCAATCTTTGGTCATTTAAGCATTTAAAGTCCTCCGAATTGGAATGGCACTTCGAAGAACTTGGGGGGCTAATTGTTGGTGTCGGATCCCTCACCAGAGGTCCAGGACCAACCAAAGATTGCCACGTAGTCAGGGTAACGGCCCATAAAGGTTAAAACCCATTAAACCCACAAGTCAAAAGAACAACCGAAGTGGTTATCACCGTAAGGAGAATCCGAAGTGACTGCACCTCGACACGAGTCCGGAGACGAAGTCATGGTTAAGTCGGTCCAAGGACGTTTAGGCCAAAAGGCGAGGCCCATGAAGATCAGAATCAACTCAAATTCGAACGTTGAGCATTAAAATTAAAGATCAAAACGGACACATTTAAGAGAGAATAATTGTACTTAATTAGCCATTTTAAATGTCGTTTTTCTATGTATAAATAAAGGGGCCAATGGCCATGTGAAGGGGACCTTTTCCGAGAGCAAGAAATACTATAGCAATTTTTGTAATTCATAAGCTTTTTACATTTTTATTTTTTGTCCCTCAAGAATAATCTTCCCTATTAATAAAAATACTTGAGTGTGTGAATCCGACATCCACAGAGGCTCATCCGAAAGATTGGGTTAAGAACGGGTTGGACAGAGTTGTACCCATTCCCGAAGAGCTTCGTGAGTATTGCGTCACTCACGATGGGCGGAGCTGCGAAGTCTCATCCTCCGGAGATGAAAGTTGATTAGGGGGTGTTTGTTTATTGTTTGTTGGTCCTTTTGGTTTTGTTAAAAACTTATGATTCATTAAATTTGTAGTCGTTGGTTTTGTATAATGTTTTAAACAATTGACGCTAATGTTTATTACTTTTGGTTATGTTATAAACTTATGTTTATTTCAATATTTAGTTGTTGGATTTTGTATAATGTCTTAAAGATGAATTAACACTAATGTTTATTCCCTTCTTCAAGTACAACATTTATTGTTGTAAATGTCTAGTTCAGACACAAGTTTAGAGAACTTGTGCATGTTTTATGGATATTGGTAAATTTTTTAGTTTAGTATCTTATGCATGCATATGTTGGTATCTTGCTTGATGTGATAATTTTTAAAACTACTCATGAGTAACCAAGATTGCTTTATTTTTTTTTTCAATATAGGATAATAACTACAAATGACAAGAATAAAAATCTATCATGCCTACTCCTCCATTTAAAAGAAATTACCATACCATCATTTTAAGACCACATCATTACATTTACCATTTATTAACCTCACCAACTAATAACTGTGGGACTTAATAAATACTCTTCCAACTAAATCTACCATAAATGAACTCAAAACCTAGAAACAAACGAGGACAAATTTCGAGCGTCTCATATACCAAGAAACTTATCTCATAGGTAATTACACCTCAGAAGATATCTACTTACATACCGAAGCATCTTGTAGCTGACATCAATCGTCGTGTGGGAGTAGAAGATTTTCGTTTTCTAGGTTTTTCATTGCCGCTGGAGCTGCTGTTGGGGTCGGATTCCATCCTTTGGCGCCGAGCCAAACTTAGAACACTTCGGGAGTCTTTCAGTGATCACCTCGGGGCATCGCATCATTCACCTCGGGATATCCATCTAATCGATTTAGTATACCCGAGCCCATCGCCTCGAGGATACCTTTAACAAGTAGTTTCAAGCACCCGAGCCCATCACCTCGGGGATACTTGAACAAGACGTCTCAAGCACCCGAGCCCAATTGCCTCGGAGATACTTGAACAAGACGTCTCAAGCACCAGAGCCCATTTGCCTCGGGAGTTTCTGAGCCCATCGCCTCGGGGACACCCGAACAAGCCATCCTAGAGTGCCCGAGCCAGTCCTTCCTGTGTACCCGAGCCGATTGCACAAGTTTCTCCGAGGTGAAGTCTTCATCATCGCCCGAGGTAAAGACTTGGTAAATATTCGCTTTCAAAGTACTATTTCCAAGCAAGGTATCATTTCCGAACAAGAAAGATCATTTCCGATATACCCGGAAATGATAAGAAAGAATCTAGAAGGATCGACTCAAATCAGGAAATCTCCCAAAGACTCCGAAAAATAAGGAAACTATCCTAATCCGCGATATTCTGAGCCGACTTCAAGATAAATGGAAATCTTCCGAGAATATCGCTGAAGAGGCGGTTTACCACCCCTATATAAAGAGATTCAAGGCTCAAGCAAAGGACAAGCAATATCACTCTAGAATTTAGACTACGCAAAGCTCTCACAGCACAAACACCTTTTTTTCTTTTACGATAAAACTCTTGTACGATCAAAGTCATCTTTTTCTTAATAAAATCAAGAACACCATCTTTGGTTTCAATCCGTTCTGTTGTTCTTTGAGAATTCACGTTTATCGTATCCCTAAAATAAAACCCTAGACAAATCTCGATTGTGTTAGTTTCGACTTCCACAGTTTGGCGCCGTCTGTGGGGAATACTTTAGAATTCTCTTACCCTAAGAACACAAGACTCGAATACCAGAGAGGATGGTGAACGAAGACGATCCTCAGACACCACCAGCCGGAGGAGGGAACCATAACCCTCCGAACCCTCTTTCTAGCGCCACTTAAGCCGATCCGAAGATCATAGCAACTCTAGCCGAACTGAAAGATCTAATGGTTAAATTCCAGAAGAAAGCTGACGACCAAGAGAAAGCTAACAAAACCTTGGCGCAGCGAGTCGACGAAATCGCAACACGTGGGCAACAAAAAACCACACGTTTCCAGACTCGGCCGCCACGAGCTCGGAGGGACTTGCCTGGCATCAACCCGACGAGACTCACGTTCGCGACACCAACCGGCAACACCAGAGTCGCAACCCGAGCCGACCCTGCCAGACGCGAGAACCAAGATGATCCCACCGAGCCGGACGCAGTGGACTTGACGGACGAGCCAGATGATCTGCAAGATGAGCGTATCCGAGCCGGAGCTAACTCCGCCGAGCGAACAGATCTCACTGACGATGAAGAAACTGAGGAAAACATAAGGTGGGCCGATGAGTCCGACAGAGAAGACGAGCTAAGCAAAATCCGAGCCTCCCTAGCCAAGGCAGAAGCTGATATGAAGCTCGTCAAAACCCAGATACATAGCGTTTCATCCTCCGCACCGAACATCGACCGAATTTTGGAAGAATCTCGGAATACGCCTTTCACCAAAAGAATTTCCGAAACGACGATGTCCAATCTGGGAAAGTTCAAAATCGACTCTTACAACGGATCAACCGATCCAAAGTGCCACATTAAATCGTTCGTGATATCTGTGGCCCGAGCCAGGTTCAAACCCGGGGAAAAGGATGCAGGTCTGTGCCTACTGTTCGTGGAACACCTTAAAGGACCCGCATTAGAGTGGTTTTCGAGATTAGAACGAAATTCGAATGATAGTTTCGACGAGCTGTCGACATTGTTCCTCAAACAATACTCCGTGCTCATCGACCCCGGAACTTCCGACGCGGATCTGTGGTCCTTGTCTCAACAGCCCACCGAGCCATTAAGGGATTTCCTCAAGACCTTCAAATCGACGCTAGCCAAGGTCGAAGGAATTACAGATGTAGCAGCTCTCTCGGCTTTGAAGAAAGCTCTATGGTACAAGTCAGAATTCAGGAAAGAGTTGAACCTGTCTAAACCAACAACAATTCGCGACGCGCTGCATCGAGCCTCGGAATTCGTCGCCCACGAAGAAGAAATGGCGCTACTAGCAAAGAGGCACGAGCCAACAAAACAGGCGCCCCAAACCGAGAAAACCGAGAAAGCCCAAGCGACACCTCCGGTCCAGAAGAAAACGCGCGAGAGCGGTACGTATACGCATCACGAAGGGCGCAATTTCTCAGGATACCATAGCTACCAGATTGACACGCCCTGAGGCCATGGCCACGGCAGAGGCCGAGGCCGTGGGCGAGGAAGAGAGTCCTTCACTTGGACAAGGGATCAGCCACCGAGCAATGATCAAGAATATTGCGAACACCACAAAATTTTTGGCCATCATACCTCGAGATGCCGAAGCCTCGGAGCCAAGTTAACAACCAAATTCCTAGCTGGAGAGCTCGGGACAAACGTTACTCTTAAGGACCTCGAGCCAGAACCAGAGCCCGAACAGACCAACCCAGGAAGAAACCCCGAACCAAGGAACCAGGAGTCTCAGAAAAGAACCCGGGGATCGGAAGACGAAGACCGAGATGGTACGCGGCAGAAGGTTCTTACCATAATGGGTGGATCACCTTACTGTCCAGATACCGTAGCGGCAATCAAAGCTTATCAACGCCGAGCCGAGACGCCTGGCAACTGGACAAGACGCTTTGATAGACCTAACGACGTGATAACATTCGAGGAAAGCGAGACAAACGGGCTCGACATGCCTCATAACGATCCAATCGTCGTCACATTAGCGATAGGAGACCATGACATTTACCGAGTATTAATTGACACCGGCAGCACCATCGACGTAATCTTTCGCGAAACGCTCCGACAAATGAACATCGACATGTCACAGGTGATTCCGACCCCGAGGACCGTCCTCGGATTTTCAGGGGAAACTTTGATGACTCTTGGAACCATCCAACTACCAGTCCGAGCCGGCGGGGTAACGAAGATAGTCAACTTCTCAGTCACCGATCGACCAACCATCTATAACGTCATAATGGGAACTCCGTGGTTAAACCTAATGCGAGCTGTCGCATCAACATATCATCTG